GTGTGTTTCGGATCATTGTCTTGTTGAAAGACAACATCATTTTTATTAATTTCATACCACTGGATTGTTCCTAAAAGAATCCATATGACCATAAATGCGTACGATATTACCAACGCCGAAAAATCCAAAGCAACCCCAAAACATTATATTCCCACCCCCAAATTTTACTGTAGGTTTCACGTGATGCTCTTTCAAAGGTTCATCATCACGTTTCCAGTAATATTCACGTCCGTCTGAATTAAAAATCATAAATTTCGATTCATCCGACCAGATGACTTTGCACCAATCGTTAATAGTCCAATGATGATATTTTTTCGCAAATTTTAAACATTGAATTTGATGTGTTTTTTTGAGATATGGTTTTTTACGCTTAATTCGTGAAGAAAGACCATTACGATGTAAAATTCACTTTATTGTACTTGTGCTGCTGACATCAATTTTATCAACAGTTTTTAATTTTTTTGGATAGATTGGGAAAACTACCATTCGAAATTAGATGTATAATATTTTGTTCATCACGTCCAGTAAAAATTCTAGGGCAACCTGGTTTTTAAAGGTATTATGAGTATCTTTTTTTTGCTTTATTCTTATAACGGAGGATTGGGAAATATCTTCACGATTTGCAATATAACGGGAAGAATATCCTTCTTTAAGAAGGGTATAAATTTGGGATCTTTTTTCGATGGGAATATGTGCCATAATAATTTTAATTATACGAGATAAAAGAAATGCATCATCAGTTTGGCGTAACAAAGTCCAAGTTAAGCAAAGTGGTGTTACATTTAAATTGTATGTATTATTTATTTATGTTTTTAACTATATATGGGCCAAGTTTCATTTACCTGTGGCGTCTATATTACTAAAAATTCCACGATTCGTTTTTTCGTCTTAGTGATGCATTACTTTTGAGCGCCACTGTATTTCATAACGCAATTTTCCCATCCTTCATCGTCGAAATGAGAAAGAGCATTTGCAAGAACATTCGCGTCAATAATTGTATGATTTAGACCTGAAAATACCGTGGATATCTAAATCCAAAAACCCGGTGTAAATATTTTAATAGAAGCAATGACCGATCGATAGTCTCTTTATTTTCTCAAGGTAAAAAATTTTTTATTCTATGCATTATAGAAAATAAAACTCGCAATGGATTTTTATCCCAAATCTTTGTACATTAGAAAAAAATAAGTTATATTTCTAATATTAATTAAATATTCTATTAATAATAAAATTCTACCATTCTTTAAAGACTCAAAATAGAGCCTAATATAATCATGGAAGCGGTTGCCAATAAACCTGTAGGATATCCGTGATTTCCCCTCAAAAAGGAACTATTGGCAGAGCTTGTACTATTTCCGTCAGTACCGTTGCCTTTGAGAACAACTGATACGACAGTAGAACTCGTGTCTTGGTTATCAGAAGTACTTGAGCCACCTTGACCATTATTATTTTTAGTGGTGCTGGTGCTGGTGCTGGTGCTAGTGCTGGTGCTGCCAGTGGAGTTAGAGTTGGCTGTTGAATTATTATGTGTATTGGTGGAATTTGTGTTAGTTGAGTTCGATGAAGTATCAGTGCCATTTAATGGGGAAGTTGTCGAGTTAACTGCAGAAGTGTTGTTTGATTGAATTCCTGTGGCATTATTATTACTTGGATTTGTGGGATTTGTGGGATTTGTGATATTAATCGGGATGTTCAATGGAAAGTTCGAATTGTCATTCCCATTGTTATTCCCGTTGTTATTGGCAGAAGAGGAGGATGAAGATGAGGGAGAGGGAAGTGACGAGGAAGATGATGAGGAAGATGAGGAAGATGAGGAGGAAGATGAAGAAGATGAAGAGGAGGAAGAAGAGGAAGATTGTTGAGATTCACTTCCAAAAATTTGATTTGGAATATCTAATCCTCCTCTTCTTTTTATTGAAGCAGCGTCAATAGAACTGCCAAGAGTCAACAATACCGCGAAAAATACGACAATAAAATAACGAACAAAAGTCATTTTGAGTTAGTTTTTAATGAGTAAATATTTTTGAGTAGTTATTCGATATCCTTTTTTTTCGAGAGAAAAATAAGGCTCAGCCTATTGAACGAAGCAAAAGAATGCAAAGGTGTATATGAGTAGGTGAGTGAGTGAATGAATGAATGCGGGCGGCGGGAGGAAGATGTAATTTTGGTAAATAGAGAAAAAAATCGAAAACTTTCCGTTTTTATAGAAAATTACTTGACACACACAGTAATTACATGTAATACATTTTTATTTGTTTAATATTACTAAAATGGAAATAAATCGTTTCTTTGAAAGACTATACTATATATTGAACATTGTCTATTTTTGTCTTTATTTGTGTTACGATTAGACGGAAAACGAGTGGTTCAGTATATATTGATGATATACAGAACATACATCTTACATTTTTTGCCCGAGATTTTATTTGTTTAACCGATATATACAATTATACAATAACAATAGCCGTTATGCACCGCAATATTATTATTTACGTTCCCGTTACTAAAAGACTAAAACAGCGAAGTATGAAATCTATTTATTCTTACTGTTGTTGATCTTTTTTACATAATGTAAAATTAATCAAATTAATGATCTGAGCAGGTTAATACACTTGAATGTACGTAAAGTGGTGGGGGTAAGAATACACAAGCGGGACAAATGTTCGTTTTTATTTCACTTTTTAAGAGTAGTAGTTAACGTTAAACCCATATGAGCGGATTTGTGTTATACAAATTAGTTTTAGACGCACCCTAATTTTCAATTATGAGAGCGTCAGTTGATTAATCAATCAAAAAGTCAAAAATGTGATTTATGATTAACCAATCAATCAATACAAAGATTTGATTGCTGAAAAACTTTGTACGCGTTTTACTTGTATTTTACGTGTCATTATAATAAAGCGAAGCTTTTTTCTATTTAGAAAAACTAAGAATGAGTGAAGATTATTTTCCACAATCCTGCTACAATAATGAAACAGATACTTACCCACAATCTCCTATTATTAAATATAAAGACCGTTATCATCAATTAACATATACAATTATCAAAGAAGGAACTTATCCTTCAGAAAACATCTTAATATATATACTAAAAAAACCAAATACATATAAAATACCTGATAACCTTAGTATAAAAACAATATATGGCAAAAAAAAAACCACTAAAAAAATTACTTGTTATATCAAGTATATTTGTGATAAACCCTACTTTCGAATTGAATTCAATGAAGAAAAGTGCTTCAGCGGCAGCATACAAATATCAAAAGGTAATTATATTTGAATAAACTTAAAAAAACTATAAATTTTTTTTTGCAGCAAATAGAAAAATAAAAAAAAGAAAATGCGAATAACTTTAGAAGAAGCTAGTAATACTATTGAAGAATTTGAATCAGAGTCAGAATCAGATAATTTAGACAAAGAAGATGGTAGTTCAAGAAAATGAAAATATTAAAAATCAAATGGCCAGGTGTCTATTTGTTTGGATTGCAATTACAACAAATCAAAGAAATTTGTGAAGCAAAAAATCATATATGTTACCTCAAGCTATTTGATAATCTTTCTAAGTCAACTCAAAAATTATGGGCCAAAAAGCTTGGAATAACAGTATATAAAAATCTTCAAACAGAAATCAAATCTATTTTTTATGATGATGATCGAGTGGTCTTAAATCAATTGGCATTTACTGTAAATGATATTTTATTTAAGATTTTATTTGACAAGTCTGAAAAGATTTGCATATACAATCTATAATACAAGCTATGGATTATATCAAACTTTATCACGTATTGGACATGATCTTTCAAGAGAGTGAGCTGTATTAGCAATGAAAAAAGCTATTACAAATAATATGAAAAAGCTAATTTGCATAAAAACTTTTGATCTTAATATATCTTTGAATGCAGAATATATTTTTGATGAAGAAATTCATATAAATAGTGAAGAGATTGAATAAAACATGAGTAATTCAATTGGCAAAGATATATATTGATCATTAATAAGCATATTAAAGTATCTTATATTAAGCTAAATAAAAAAAAATATAATTAATATTTATAATTTAATACTTTATCTATGAATTAGAATATATCAAGAATACTTTTTTAATACTTAAGAATATCAATAGCAAGTAGAATTGTACTTTAGTACTAATTAGAAATTTCTAGTAATATACCAAGCATATCAAGCTTTCAATACCAATACCTATTATTTATGATATGAATATATAATAATAAATAATAGAGATAATGAAGCTAATTAGAAGATTAGTAAAATAATTAGAAATATTAGTTAACTATTCCAAATTATTCAAAAAAATCTCTATTTTTCATAATTTTATTGAAAAATTAATATCCTGATGAATTATTATTTTATTATATATTTAGAATAGACTTTGGACTTTATTGATTAGAAAATTAAAACAAGAAAGAAAATATAATAACAGAATATGAGAATTAATTATTATAGAAATGAAAAAAATTCAAGTAAAATTCAATTTTTAGATGGATGAAAACTGGTAACATATCTCTTTTATGAGTAATGATAAGATCAAAGTATTGAAAGATTTTAATTTAAAGACTTTTTTCTCTTTAATATATGTGTCACTAATTTAATAATTGTGAAATAATTTTCTAGAACTCTATAATATTATGAAAAATAATGAAATAATAGAAGAATTTCAGATTAAGGCAAAAGCTTGGCTTAAATTATTTTTGAAACTCTTTGAAGATGCATTGAATTCAAGAAATTTAATTAGCGGCTTATACTGACCAAGTGATCTGACTCTGTATATTTACATATTAATATATCACATGCCTGAGTTGCTTGATATCTATTGACATTTCTGAATGAATAATTTTTTATATTGTGCTATAGAGAAAAAAAATTACTAGCAAGTTTCTTACTTTTTTAAAAATTCTCTAAAAGATAACGAAACGTAAGATATGCAAAAATCAGCTATTTTGAAAATTATAGATATGAAAATTAAAATCTCTTTTTTTTACTTATGATGCATCAACCTATTTTGAAAAGGATACAAAAATTACTATTTCCGCTTTCCAAATTCTATATTAAACTCAAAATAAAAGTAATTTTGATTCAGTTTATTAAATATTTGTGCTTCACTACCATTTTTTTTATACAATAAATTTGGTCTGCAGTGAAATGAATTGTAATAAAACCAGCGCCTACTTTATAATTTTCAGCATCTGTAATTATTCTTTGTTTCCGCTCCAGCATTATTTCAAATTTGAGAGTTCGAAATCTGTGTTATTGATATAAAGGTGAGCTTTCATTAATGCAAGAATTGACATTGAATTCAGGTGAAGGAATTAGAATTATACCAGTTATTTGTCCACGATAATATCGTCGAATTCTCTATTTAGATTTATTCAAAATATAGCTCAATGTCGTCACCCAAAAACACGCAAAAGTATCATAATCCACTTGGTGAACAATACGTAATATAATTTCCAAATATCGCCAAAAACTGACTTTGAAGAAAGTGCATGATTATAGATTGATCATCAACATGAAGTTTCACATGAGATACACCAAGTTCTGACGTGATTCTTCAATGACTTCATCTGGCAATGTATAGATTGGTACTTGTGGTATATTATAGGCACTGTGCACTTAATTTTCATGCATTGAGAGTCCACGCTTACTCTTGAAACCTTTCCGTGAACAAAGTTTGCAAAAAATGAGCATCATTATATCTGGTTTGTTGGGTTTGTGAATAACTGTTTGATGTCAGTGTAAGCCACAAGAGGTTTTAAATGTTTTTTTGGGACATAAAGAACAAGCAAATTGTATTGGAGTAGAGGAGGATGAAGGAAGATTGGTAGCAACGTAACCTTTAGATCGCATGAGTGAAAAGATTGGTTCAGTATAGTATTGCGTATAAAAAGGTCAGTTTTCCTATCACATCAGTCAAATTTTGTATATTTGAATTTTCCACTACAATATTTAATTTTCACGATTCATACCTGTCATTACTCAACAAGAAAGATTGGTTCCGGGCGGGGAAGATTGGTTAGACGCATAGTTTATTAATTATCGATGAGATATTGGAGAATGGAACAAAAATTTTCGGAGTCTGCAATGATATCTGACCAATCATCACATGGTTTTCAGATGTAACACAAAGCATTTGGGGTGGCCCAATAAACAGCTTCCGCCGATATGCAAGGTGACAAATGGGTCGTAAATTCAAATTAAATAGAATATAACTTATTTCAAAAAAAAAGGTTATTTAATAACGGCGTTCATGTGAAAATAAACGCCTATTTCCATGAAATAATTCCTTCTATATGTATAACGAGACATTTTGTTTTATGGTAAATGAATCTATCTTTTGAGATTGAAATTTAAATATCAGATGTCATCCTATGTAAACCAAGATAGCTTTTATCGCATTTCCTTTTCTATATAAAACAATGGCTGCTAAAAGTAATGCATCGGGAGGGGTTAAATCTATAAATAAATTTTTTTTCAAATTTAGGTGTAACTTTGGGCTTCCCAAATAGTACCCGGGCCCAGTTCAAGTGGCAAAGTAATGAACTTGGTAAGTTGGAAAAAGTTGCTCTTGATTTTTGTCAGATCAAGAGCATCTGACTCTAGGTTTTTTTGATCGAATAAAACAACCTCCAAAAGTCCAGGATCTAGTTCTATCTCGAATGTGAACTTTGTAGGTTCTCCAAGTAACTCAGATTCTTGGAATATTTTGGTACCAAATTTCTCACTTCGTAAATGCTGTACAAAAGCGCATCAATATCATTTATATTTTCTCCTATCATCATACACGTATCTTGAAAATCATCATATCTCATCATTAGCGAAACTGTTCGCTTCGAAAAATGACTCAAGCTCGATATTATCTTGGGATGTGCTAGTGCTGGGACTATTGGTCTGGAAGCATCAGATCGATGTTAATTTGGGATGTACAAGTGCTGGAACTATTGATCTGGAAAAGTGAAGAACAAATACTTGGCTTTGCTCTCTTCTTAGAAAGAGGATCTGTTCCTTGACGCTTTTTTTTTGCGTCTTTCCAAGTACAGATTACAAGTTGTGTATTCATGGCATGGATTGTTACCACGAAGATGACAGATCCCTTTTGAGATTTCTAAATATAATTTACGTTTATTGTAGTTGGCTTCATCCGTTTAATATTCATTAATATCAAATTATTCTTATTTCAATTATTTACTATGATGTTTTATATCTTCTTCCATTTTACTAACATTTATTACATTCATTTGTACATTAGTCTTAATTTTACAATAAGAAAAATTAACACAAAGAGCATAGCAAATCGGGAGCGATAACAAAATGTGTTGGTCTTGCAATCATAAATAATGATTATTATAATTTTTCAAATATTTTGTACGAGATAATACTTTAATATATAATTATTACACGAGATATTACTTTAATTATTATTCAGACATGATTACATCAAGAGTCGTCAAGATTCTCGCGTTTGCGGTGCACCAATTATTGTGCTAGTCGCGCGCGTCAAAGATTCTCATTCGCTGCATTAGATTCAAATCTTTTTATTAACCAAAAAAATTATTTTCAAATATTAGTAATAGTAATTTTTAGTTGTATAACCGGTTAATTTGCAATTTTTTAATTTCGTTTACTAAACAACTATTCTCTAATATCATTAGGATTTAAATAAAAGTTTTTCGTATTTGTTAATAAAAAAAAATTATGAAAACATGTAAATATTTCGAATTCACCAGAGTGACCACCGCTTTTCGGGCCACGTGATGATTTCTAAGGGTTAAACCAATCAAATCAGCATTTTAATTAAGGTTACAAGCTAAATTAACTTCCCACATTGATCTTGCAATTTGATTGGTTTACCCTCCTAAAAATCACGTGCACGGTAAACCTTTTCATCAGCACATTATCTTTGTCCGAAGCCAGTATTCAGAATGCTGAGATCCGGAAAAATTCCCTTATATTCCGAAATTGAATTTCATTAATTAATTCTTATTATAATATATAATTGTAAATGCACGAAGAGATTCTTGACTAAGATTTTGCCTATCATCATCCAAAATTTTGTTATACGCATTAAAACTACGTTCTACATAATAAAATTGGTAATCAAATATATTTGATAATTATTTCACTAAGAAGGGGTAATTAATATGAATTTTTGTTCCAAAAATCATCAAATTAATTTAAATTGATATTACAATAAATTGCCCATTCTTAACGTTTATGTGTTGTTCGTACATGATATGATTTTCTTTTATGATTAATATGACATAAGAGAATTCCATTATCATAATCTTCAGAAAATTCTTGTGTACGAGTATCGGTATATGCTGTTTTGCTTTGCATCCATTCCTAAAATTTCCTTGCAATGTCGGTTATAAACTAAGATCCATCGCGTGGGTTCTTTATTATGCTGCTGATGACATATTCTTTATAGTCAGAACTTAACGTAATAAAGAAAAAAAGCAAAAAAAGTTTGTTCTAAGAAAAATTTCTTAAACCGCAAACCAAAAAAATTTTCAAATCGCAAACACGTTTACTTGTCTTTAATAACGAGCACATAAAAATGAGCTTCACGTCTTTGACATCAGCCACTCAAAATTCCAATATTCGAGTTTAATAATGACTGGTGATCTCTTATTATGAATGCTTAGATTATGTTTATCTTAATAATGGAAACCTCTTCATTAAACATAAATAATCGAGTACTTATAAGGAAGAATTCTGAGTGAAAAACATAACGGCTTGAGCCCAAGATAGGATTCTATCTTTATTTCTTTTTGAAATCGTCCAAAACATATTTAATATAAATGATAGTAATGTTGGTATCCAGAAAAGTAATAAGTGTGACAGATTAAAATGAAATCAGATTAAAATGAAATGAGTAACCTTTTTTTGTGCACAAGTCACATGACATATGCACATTATGTATTTCAGTATTTTCATTATTATCATGTTACCTTACATACTAAATCAATATAATACATTATTAATCAAACAATGGGCTTTTATTTATATATATATCATTATTGCTTACTCTATCTATCTAGATTTCTTTAAATTCTTCATTGCAAAGATTTTTACCTTACCATTAATCTTTACTCTTACAGTCCTATTATTATTACATATATCAATAATCTTTCCACTAATATTATATACCTGCTCTAACTTCTATTTTCTCATTTTTTGATTAATATCATGATCCAGAGCAATTGCAACCTCCTTTTCAGATTTAAAAGCTAATTTTATTTGATAAATACTTTCACAGATCACCATTTTGTTTTGATAAAGCTCATTATTTTGTGCAATCTCTATTTATATTTTTTCAACCTGCCTTATATGAGTTTCATAGATAGTAACTTGGCCACTATTCTCTTGTATTACTTTGATAATTATTTCATGCAGAATATTTTCTTTCTCTTGTATTTTAATTGAGATATAAACTTCAGTATCAAAAATATTAACTTGTTCTGAAGTCTCATTAAATTATATTATTTCATCCAAAATATTATCAATTTATATTATTTCATCCAGAGTATCATCAATTTGTGTTGTTTTGTCTGGAGTATTATTAATTTATGTGATTTTACCTGAAGTATTATCAATTTATATGATTTCATCTGGAATATTATAAACTGATATAGTTTTACCTAGCTTATTATTAATCTTTATGATTTTATTTAGTCTATTATGAGCTTGTATAGTTTTACTAGGCATATCATTGATCTCTGTAATTTTATCTGGCCTATTATAAACTTGTGTAGTTTTGCCTAGCATATCATAGACTTCTCTTATTTTAAATTCAAAAAATACTTCGTAAAATAATTTTTTGTGAGCTTCATAAGATATTTTATTAAAGATAATTATAAAAGAAAAAAGAATATTGATCCATCAGTAATCCTAAACTTCAGAAACTTTATTTCACAATATTTTTATTAGATGCTGACCAAGTATTTGATTAAATTTCTTGATTTTATCTTGACTTTGCAAATAATGAACATAATTAATAAGTTATATTTTGAGTATTTTATAAGTATATTTTAAAATACTGGTTATAAATTCTGATCTATTATCCACTTAAAGTTTTGAGAGTGAGCCAAACTCATAAAGACTTTAACAAATTCATAGTGAATTATATTACCTTCTTTATCTTGAAGTGGAATAGTCCAAATATAACATGAAAATATATCAATTATTATAAGAATGTAACTATATCTATTATTATACTCAGTAAAAGAAAGTAAGTTAACTAAATTAACTTGAATGTATTTAAGAGAGCTATCAGTTATAATAGATATTAAATCAACTTTTTCTTTGATGCTGATATTTCAGATATAGGTCAAGCAATTTCTTACATACTTCTTGACTTCATCTTGAGTAATACTAACATATTGCTTGAAAAGCATCATGTATATTTTGTGATACTCAAGGTGAATAGTCCTAATATAAAACTTTTTAACTCTATGTCATAGGCTGAAATAACTCTTTTAAAGATAGGCTAGGAATTTTTATTTTTTGATAGTTAAATATACAAAAAATAATCCTTTTAGTGATCATATAAAAAATTTTTGTATCATCTTTGAAAATTCACTCTCTTTATTGGGATATTATACTTTGCTGCAAAAGTATCAGACCTGAGATATCTCAAAATATCATTAAAATTCTCAGATATATTTAGTATTTTTAGAAGCTTAATCATTTTTAAAGAAGAGAATGAAAAATAAAAACTGTTTGATATATTTGTCTGATATGTAATAGTTATATTTATATTTGTATTTATCTGGTATATAGTATTTATATTTGTATTCAGTATGTAAAAATCATGATATATATGATATAAGTAAAATTATACTTATTTACATATCTTAATTTTAACATGGTTTTCTTCTATATAACTGATGAAGATAACTTGATCCAGTGCAAAATACTGAAAAGTAATATGAATATCATAAAGTAAAATTCAATATAGTCTTCTTTTATATAACTGACAAAAATGATATAAAATACTGAAAAATAAATGAAAGTGAAATCTAGTACAAAGTATCTGAGAAACTAATAGTAAAAAGTATAGCAAATGTTAAAAAAATATGACAAATATGATATTAGATCCACCAGTAGTAGCTCTATTTATTACTATGCTACCACTTAATTAGTACTTTATCAGCTCATTTAGTTGTTAACAATATTTTATTTACTGATATATATTATAATATCTGTCAAGACTTCTTAAGTTAGGAGCAGAGTTATGGTTTATTCATCTATAATCATTATAAAATATTTTAAAATAACAAAACTAATAATTTTTAATAACAAGAAATACATCAAGAGATGGTAATTTTGATAATAAGAAACAAAATAGCAGCATCAAGTAATGGCAATTTCGATGACAAGAAATAAAATAATAGTATCAAGCAGTAATAATTTCAATAATAAGAGATAAAGTGATAATTTTAAGATCCAAGTAAAAGAAAATTTTGTAATTTAGTAAGTCAAATATATAATTCTGACATATTAATCACAAAATGAAATCAATTTAATAATCTATCCAACATTAACTTAGCATAATTATTGTGAAAGTGACAGATATAGTAAGAAAAATCACTTTATATTACTAATCTATATGATTGATGCTAAATCACATACTATAATAATTTTGAATAAATAAAATACATAATATGACATCACATGATATATATAAAAAATTAGCCCAAATTTCATTTTAATCTGATTTTATTTTAATCTATCATAATAAGTAATATAAAAAAAATTTTTTATTATTAATAATGATAACTATGTAATATTATTATTATATTTTATTTTGCAATATGTGAAAAATTGATTGTTATGTGAAAATTTCTAATTATTATACAATATAACTGATTATAAATAAATAAACTAATTAAAAAAATTTATTATTCTAAACTTATAATAGTTCATCATTTTCTAGTTATGTTCAAAAACTTAATA